AAGAGGCGGCCTCCCCGCAGGCAATATCCCAGCGCCTCTTGCTGGATATTTTCAGTCCCTATTTCCCTACCGGCCAAGTACAGTCCTATGTCTCGATACTTTCTGTCGTAGAGATTTGCGAGAAAGGTCCTTGGACCCCCTTCTTCCCCTCGGCTGCCCCCAGCTATTTGCGCTCTATTTGCGACGACTTTCATTATCGCCTCTTCGGCCATTGCCTCTTTTTCCTTCTTAACCCTAGGCAGGTCCTCCTCTCGAATGGGAAGCCGAGACAATCCATCGGCGACCTGGTTTTTGGTCCCCGATATCCTCTCGACCCTATAGTCATAAAGCCTGATATGGATCATCCAACGTGCGATGTTCGGATCCGTCAATGAGAAATCCTTTTGGAGGACCGCGGCCACTGCCGTCGGGTCCACCCTCAGGAGAAATCGTCGTCCGTACAGGTAGTGACGGAAGGCTTTTAGGCAATGCAATACCCCCAACATTTCCTTCTTGAATTGGCTATAATTTCTCCCTGCGGGATTTAAGGCCCGACTTTCGAATCGCAATGACCTCTCTCTCCCTTCCCCATCCTTTTGCGACAGGAGACCCCCCACTGAGTGAGGTCCAGTGTCCGTGGATAGTACTAACAGACGACCCTCTTTGTTTTAAAAAAACGGGACTCCTAGGAGTTCTCCACCTTCGCGGAATTCCCCCTTCAAGGCTTCCATGGCCGCTGTTTGTTCTTCTCCCCAAACACATCCTTCCGATTTCCTGAGGAGTCTTCTAAGGGGTTCCACCTTCTCTCCATAGGCTTTTATGAAGATTCGCCTGTAGCCCACAACCCCTAAAAACTGCCGGACCTCCGTTATGGATTTGAGTGGCGATGACCAAGTCATCAACTTTACTAGTTTCTCGGGATTGGGCCTCCGCCCCTCTTCATCACAAATGAACCCTAATATCTTGATGGAGGATACGCCCCAGAGACTCTTAGTCCCGCTTACCGTGAGGTTCGCGTCGTCTAGTTTCTCAAGGATGTCTCTTACATCTTTCATATGGTCGGCCACAAACTTTCTAACCCCCGGAAAAACCTCCGTCTCATCCTGCTCGGCCGGCCCTTTTATCGGGAAATCATCCAGGAAGACCTCTACCTTCTCCGGTATGAATTCCTTGAGGACTGCTATCATGGCCCTTTGGAACACGGCTACCCCATTCGTCCAATCCATCGGTACCACCATCATTTGAACCAGCCCTAAGGATGTATGCATGGCGGTCATGTGCCTATCCCGGTAATCTAAGGGAATTCGTCGTACCCTGAGAAGAGATCGCAAATAGAGTATATTGAGCGACCCGCTGACCCTTCCGCTAGCAAGTCGGCCTCAGGTATAGACCCCACGTCTCTTATGGTGACTGCATTGGTCCTCTGGAGGTTCTGGATCCATCTTAGCTTGTTGCTACCTCCCTTCCTTAGAAAGAACCACTTATTGGAGTAGGCACTCTCGCAAGGTTCTGCGATGAACGTCCTGATCTTTTCCTTGATGAAGGTCACTATCTCTTCTTTCTCCTTCAGAGCATACTTCCATTGAGGCCTATCCTTCCAAGGGACGTGGCCACGTGGGGAACCGTGTGGATCCGGGCAGGCTTAGCATACCTTGGGTCGATTCTCCCTCTCTCCGAGTCATCCAAGGCAATGGCCTTATCGCAGCCCGTTATCCTTTGCCCCTCCGTCTCTTTCCTCTTCCTGATGATATCGGCTATCTCTTCTTCCGATATCGTAGCTTCCCCCGTTCTATCCCGCCTGACCGCGGCGGGTTTCACTTTCTCCGCCACGGTTTTTTGCTTCTTAACTCCGCCGGCTAGGGGGATCCCTCCAAAAAAGACAAGCTGACACATCCACCGAACTCCTCTTCCTCGTCGTACTTCTCGTACCCCATGCCGTTGATTACTATCTTGTCCTCCATGTCTTCAATCTCCAATTGGTCCCCCTTGGGTCCTCTATCCGTCAAGGGCACTTCCTCTAGACGGACTCGACACACCCTCGACTGGGCCCCCTTGCGCCTAGTAAGGCTGGTCCGGTTACGTTCATCTTGCACGTCCACGGCCTTTAGGACCACTCCGATATCATCAGGACTTTGGATCGAGAGAGTTTGACTTCCATCCGGCAAATCAACTGTGGTTGCATGTACCGTGCTTAGCCAAGTTCTCCCGAGGATTAATTCGGAGGAACATTCTTTTACCGAAAAGATCGGTACCGTGGCCTCCACACCGGCTACCTCAATTACGGGGCTATGACACACCCCTTCCGCCGGTTGTAGCTTGTTATCCGCCACCTCCATCGACATTGCCACCCCTCGATCTATCTCAAGGCCTAGCTCTCGCGCGATGGAGTCCCTACATACTGTAGACTCGGACCCATTGTCCACTAAAGCCCTCATTTTTTTCCCACTTACCACCGCCTGAAGCTGGCCACTCCCTAGCACGTAGAACTTCTTGGCCTCTTCCCCCGAGAAGAAATTGGCTGGTAGCTCCTCCATGGTAATGCGGGTGGCCTGCACTTCTTCTTTGGTGGGACCTTCCACCGGCACCGTGGGCCCTATTGCGAGCGGGACTCTCGCCTTCCTTGTGATGCTTAGGAGCTCCTCTCTGACACTTTTGCTCGCGGCTAGATATTCTAAAAGGGTGCACTGCATGGGCTGCATCAACGTTCGCCTAAGGGGTGCTACCGTGTCTATCTCATCCAGGGTACACTTCATTTCGAACTTTTTGGGGCCCCTTTTCTTAGGCGATTTTGGTGAAGTGGGCTCTTCTTTCTTTCCTCCACTGCTTTCACATCGGTCATTGGCTGGTCATTGTCGCCGTTTTTCACCTCCGTACTTTCCGTCGCGCTTGCTTGGTTCTCGGATGTCTCGGCCCCGACCTGCGTCCTCACCCTTAGGCAGGGCCTCTCTTCTTCAGGCTGGTTATCTATGAACTTGGTACTCGATACTTGGGGCTTCCTAATGGACAACCCTCCCGGTGACTCCACCATCTGGATGTGAGAGGTGTTGGAGGAGCTTCCGACTGCCGTTTTTTTTCCTAGTCTAGCTTCTTGAAGCGCCACCCTCTTGTCCACGTTCACCTTCATTGATGGATAAAAGGAGACCGCTTCTCCGTTATCTCCCCACACAACCCACTTGTTCTCATTTAACTTGACCACCCCCAAGTTCAAAGCCTCCGTGAGATAAGGGCAGTCCCTTTTGATGTGGTTTTCTTCATTGAAGTAGACACACCCACTTCGAGTTTGGGGATTGTTGGGGCGTGGTCCCCCTTGTGTGGCTGCCGCTATAGGTGCCAGTGGAGCCGGTGACGGGGGTGCCGGAGGTGGTGGTGCCCTAACCTCCAGTCGTGGTCCGGAAGCCCTTGCTTGAGGGGCATCTCCCCACCTTCCATCCCTAGCATCCTTCCAATGGGAACCTCCCCAATCGGAGCCCCGACTCCCCCCTATCTCCCGGTCGTTCCTCCAACCTCCTTGGCCACTCGACTCGTTCCTCCATCCGGTAGGCTGTTCTCCCCACCGGGAAGCTGGTGGGCCAGGGGGCGGTCTATCGTTTCCCCTCGGGCCATCGTTCTGTGTCCCTCGCATGTTACGGAGGGCCATGTCCAAGGTCTCCTTCATGTATTCTCTTACGTCTACCCCTCCCCCTGTGAAAACAACCTCGACGACTTTCTCGAAATTCGTCGAATCCCTCGGGGTCTTCTCAAGGACCTCCTTCCTCTTTTCCTCGGGCATGTGCAGCATGAACATCACGCACCTATCTACTTCAGACAACATGCCCCTATCCACTAGGGTTTGGGATAAGCGTTTGAACCTTCGTGTGAAGGCTACCAAGCTTTCCTGTTCCCCTCTTGTAATTCGTCGCAAGCCCTCTACGGTCGGGATTGAGTCATCACAGGCAAAAGTCTACAATAGGCTCGCCCTAAAGGTCCTCCATCGACCGTCCGAGGGGTAGATGGCCCGGATCGCGGTGTTCATTTCGGGGTCCGAGTGCTGGATAAAATAGTCGATCCACTCCCTTTCGGAGAATCTCTTGTGGTACGCGTAACTTTTCCATTTCTCCACGAACTCAGTTACATCTCGCCCATCGAAAAAAAGCGCCTCCAGACTGAGGTTGACGTCATAATAGGGCACCCGTCGGTCGTCATATCGACGAAAATAGAGACCTTCCATAGGCCCATCGGTTGCCGGATCGTACGATTTGTACCACGAGGGATCGGGCTCCTCTACCCGGCCTCGAGGTCTTGATGGCTCCCAGGGGTCTTCCCCGTAGCGGCCCCGCTCATCCGGCCAATCTGCTTCCCACCGAGCGTGGTCCGCCCCTCTAAAACTCCGTCGGGCCTCCATCCCTTGACTCCTACCCGTTATCTCGCCAGGGGCCCAAGCCGCATCTGCATCTCTCACGGCCCATCTACGCGATCTACTACCAGCCTCCGCCGACCTTTCTTCTCTAAGACCCCTTCTACTTGGTCCCCCTTCCTCTTCTCTCTGGGGTGGTCGGTACCCCCTCCCATCTCTTGGGAATCCTAGGGCTTCTCCAATTCTTGTGTCCGGTAGATCCCCCCACCGAGATTCTATAGGAAGGCCCTTCGAGCTCTCGGTTGCCCCCTTTCTTATTGGCATTCTCATTTCCACACCAGATCTCGGGCCTACCAAACCCTGCCTTTCACTGGTGACCGCCTCCGGGACCCTCTCGACCCATCTCCTCCCCTCTCTCAAGTCCCTCCTGTCTTGACACTCCTCTTCTTCTCCCCTAAATGGCCGATACCCTTGTCTATCCCTAGGGAATTCCCGTGTTTCCTCCAGCCTTGCTTCAGCATCTATTAGGTCTGCCCACCGGGGCTCCACCGGAACGCCTCTCGTGGCTTCGGCTACCCCCTCGTTTACCGTCACCCGTGGCCCCACATTCCTGTGCACTCGCACCTCCGTGCCAGCCCTTTGCCCCTATGCGGCTTGTCTCTCTCCCGAAGCCATTTTCGGGACTCCTTCGGCCCTATCAGGCGTCTCCTCTAGTCGCCTCCCTCACTACCATCTGTGTCACTACCCGGCTCGCCCTCCTCTCCACTGTCTCTGTTACTTCTTGAGCTCTTCTCCTCTTCTGTTCCCTCCTCCTTCTCACCAGAATCCTCGTCCGCATCTTCTCCCTCCGACTGCTCAGTGGTTACTATCCACCAAGAATCCCTCAGTCTCTTCTCCTCACTTGCAGTCAATGCAAGATTAGCGACCTCTAGGTCCGAGACGCCTCTAACCCCCTCTTGCGCACATCTCCTAATAAAATCCTTGTCCACATCACCAGGCTGCCCGGAGAATAGAGGCTTGATGAACTCCCCAACGAGTGCCCACCACTCGAAATCGTTGTCCTCCCTCGACTCCCAGCACTGGGTGAATAACTCGTGTCCCCCTTCCTCACCCAACGGGAATTTTTCTATCACCTGACCCCTCAACAGGACTCTCCTCACGGTCTCGTTGTTGGCATAGAGTAGTCGATAGGCCCAGGTAGGGATATTCCAAGTCCTTCCGTGGCCTGCTCTCGGAACCTCCGCCCTTCCTCGGTATTCCACCTTATCAATAGTGGTGCTCCTGGCGCCTCGTCCTCTCAATCTCCCCAATCGTTCTAGGGCCCTTTCGACGATGCCCAGAGGATCTTTTCCTTCCGCTAATTCCGTAGCGAATACTAGCCGGGCGTCAGGGGACAAAAAGATTTCAGCCTTTCTTATGCAACTGTCTCCGTCCGATGCTACTGAGAACCTAATCACTGTCTCCTGCTCGTAAATCTCGAAGAACTCTGCCGCCACCTCTCCTTCCCCTCTAATCTTCGGAAGGGTCACTCCATACCGTCCTCCCCACATCCAAGCCCTATCAAAGGTACCGTAAGGGTCCCCCCTCTCGTATCTAAGCATGGGAGTTCTCACCTCACGCCTGCCAACCACTCGGCGGCTTCGACCAACGAGTTTTCGCACCTAGCTCGACCCGTCCCCCTATCCCCCCTTAGGGTTTGACGCAAAGCCTCTTCGTATTCGCTCGTTCTATCCCAAAACCGAGTTTCCACAAGGTGTGTCCTAGACGTTAGTGGCGTTCCTAGACACCTTGAGTCCTCCTCGAACTTTCTCTCTACTTCCAGCAAAGGCTCCCTCAAAATCCTCGAGAATCTCACGCCACTCGCGTCTCTAATGTGGACCGAAAAGGTAGCTAGTGTGGTCCAGTTCCTTCTCTTCTACAAAGCCAGCCTCCGGACTTCCACTAGAAACTCCGTCTCGGCGCGGACTATCCAGTCCTCCCCCAATTCTGGGTTAAGCTCCGCACCCCCATTGATCCTAACCTCGCTACCGTCCTCGTAGGTTTCTAATTCCCAACGAATCCTATTGGAGACGAACGTGGCTCTCATCCCTCACCCCGAGAGAAGGTCTATTGTGACCCCGTCGAGGATAACGATTGTGGCCGTCTCTAGCAGCCTGACCCTGGCGAAGGACCCAGGCCTAGCTCTCCTTGCCTCTTCCCAGCATAGAGCAAGGATCCGCTGAACTTCTTCCCTCACTCTATCCAACCCCACAAGCTCCTCAAGGTTCGGCTCGGTCATCCCCTAACCTCCGTCGACGACAGGCAATAGCTACCCGAATCAAGTCAGAGGGGTCCAACCCCGCTAGCTCCCCTTCACAGATCTTACCTAAGTATCTCCACGATATCTTAGATTCTCTCGCGTTGTCGGGCGCAATCGGTCCGGCACTGCGCGGGGCAGCGCGGGACCCTCCCGGCCGCGTCACGCAGGAGTTGGTTTTTGCAACCCTTCGTCGCAATAAACATGGAGCTTCCACAAGCCGCTCCGGTCGGGTGCGCCAGCCATACCTCTCGCGAGCCCCTACGACAGGATAGGGCCTACGCGAGGCACGACTTACCTACCCCTTACGGGAGCTGTC